AGTATGTTACCGCATAACTTTGGACCACGTCAACCGATTTCGATAATTCTTTTTGCATCGGAAAGGTAGTGTCTCAGAGGTGGTCCCATACTAATCAGATCAGCGGATCATGAGATATATATATATATATATTTTTTTTTTATATGAGAGTTGAAGTTGGTTTTTTTTTTGCTAAAAATTACTTGTTTGATGCTCTGTTGGTGATGCTCTACTGAAATTTGACTGAAACGCTGCAGAAATTGCGCAGTCAAAACTTTCATATTGCACTTGATTTGCTAGCAGTGCTGCCAGAAAATTTTTGTTAAAAATCTTCCTAGTGATGACAAAATCTTCAAAAACCCGTAGAAACGTTGCTGAAACTGGAAAAAATCTGTTTTCTATATACAGAAATATCTTAATTAAAGATTTTGTAACGAAAATAACTTAAATTTTATTTTTTTTATTATACAAAACCGTAACACATTTTATTAAAAAAAAAAAACAAAACTCAGTGCGTGTAGTCCCTACGCGCGGAAGAAGTGAAACTTAATACAGGAAATGCCAGAAAGAAAGAAATGTGCGATATACATACACATGAACATATTTTCTAACGTACAAAAAACATATTTATTTAAAATTTTTTTATCGACCTTTAATTTTTGTTTATAACCAACTGCAAAGTTTAATTACTATTTGTGCCTGAGAAAACATCCATATCTACAATATTAACTAGTAGATTGTGGTAACTAAAGTAAGATATGAAAAGTTTTATTTCAAATTGTTAATATTTCTAGAAAAACTGCATCAATAGTAGTCGCTCCTTTGGTTTTGGAACATTTCTACCATTAACCATTTCCAGTGAAAATTTGTCTTTAAAACATTTTGCAGTTCATCATATTTGGCCAGCGAAAATTTACATTGAAATCTCCTGCGAGAATTACAGGTCGATCATAACAGTCTACTTATTTTTATATTCATCTTCATCTTCATCTTCATCTTCATCTTCATCCTCATCTTCATCTTCATCTTCATCATCCATCATCCATCATCCATCATCCATCATCCATCATCCATCATCCATC